TTCAAAATGCACACTGAATTTTGAGCTGAGCTTTATCCTCTGGTGGAACTGTTAAGTGTGGGCCATGGCTCGCCGGGACTGAGTGGCCATCGCTGCACAAGGCCTCACTTGTTTTTCAGGATTTTCTTTCCTATGATCTGTTGATCCAGTTTGGGTCTGATGCCTTCTTTTCCAACATAGTAGGCAGGTGCACTCTTCAGGAAGGACCACCCTCCTTCCGGAAAGAAAGGTTTTAACTTTGTGGATTTTTGTTGCTGTTTTGCTCCCTGGAGCCCGGGAAATTCCTTACTATAGTGACAAATCCAAACCACAGGATTTGGGTTACTACTGTAGATGGAACAAATGGATTGCTTGCCTGCTCCCTTTCCCCATCCCCCATGCTGCAATTGCCTTACATTGCATCTGACATCTGTCAGGTTATGTGTGACATACATGGAAAATTTCCATGGTAATTGGAACATGCTGTGAAGCTCATAGTTTCACCATCTGTGTACTGGAGAAGCAACATGGTCCAGGGAACTGAGCATAGTGTCAGTATGGAGCTCTTTAGCTTTACCCAATATATATATTTTGACAATTTTGTGCATGGTGTTTATTATCTCCATTTCATCATCGGTAAGTGATGATGAAGGTAGCTATTATAATACCACGAACTTCTGGTGGTTTTATTATTTAATAGTTGAATAACAGAGATTTAACTTGAATTTAGGGGTGGGGAGTGATTTGGCTTATGTTCCAAACCATCCAAATTCAGGTTTCTTTCTACCTCTGTGATAATACATCACATTTATATGTTTTATCCTGCCATAGAGAAAGATACAGATTTACAGGGAGATGGAAGTGATTTACTTTATTTTCCTCTCCTGTTAACATAAACCAGTGTGGACAGTGATTCTGCATCATACTTTTAGTCCCATGCTTCCCACTCACGTGAGAGCTGTGGGTACATCCACTGCCATTGTGTGTCTGTTGATGATCAGTGGAGATTCAGCTCTGGAAGTGAGCGTATCAGTGTTTTCCATTAATGCTTCCTTATTTTGCAGGACCTCAAGTGTTTAGCTAACCCACAGAGTTCTCTCTCTTTCTTCTGTTTTTCCAAAGGTGATGATACAAAAGTAATTTTCTCTATTTTAGTTACAGTTGTGCTTTGGCTGTTCACTGTGGTGAGGGACAGGACAGTGAGGTCAAAACTATGATAATCAGCTTTCTTGCACAGGAGAGCTGCTGGCATAGCAGTTGTTTCAGGCGTCTTACTCTTTGTGGAATGTTGCTTATTTAGGATATGTTTGCATGAAAATGACAATTTCTGGATGAGAATGAAGAAAAGAGTGAGACTGAAGAAACAATTTAGAACCTGCAATTGAAAGAGGATTCTAGTGTGCAGTTAGCATGGATCCCATCCCATGTGGCTAAACCTTCTGATAAGACTTGGAAAAATTGCATTAGCTTAATTATGTTTGGTCACTGGGCCAAATGGTTCAGAAATGAATACGTACGCCCTGTCAGAGGGAGAGGACGTTGTTGTAATTAGACCTTGGGCAAAGCTCCAGACTGTGACTCCTGACCTGAGCTGAACCACAGATGGGGCTGGGAAGCAGGAGGAGGATTGCTGTAAGGAATGGGTGTGTGGTTAGCTGTTGAAATGATGGCAACTTTTTTGTGTTGTGCAAAAGGGTAAAACAGTACAACTGAGAAGAGCTGTGGAAAGGAGTTATGTGTAATAGTGGGATTCTCTCCAGAGAGAGATTTCCCATTGATTCTCACTGGAGGTATATATAGAAACAGATAATTGCACGTTTCATTTTACAATCACTTTCCTTGCAAGAAGTTGAAAGGCAATGGAGCTTTTATTAGAGTAAAAAAACCCACCTTTTGTTATTTTCATAAATTTTTGTGACAGCTTTGTTATCCATTACCACTCAGAAAAATGAAAGATGTTATTTTCTTCATTTTCTTTGTTGCCTTCCCCCACCCCCCACCCCATCCTTTGGAAGCACGTTTTACCCAGATTTGGTTCTTGACAAAGAAAAAGCAAATGAGAGAGAAAGAAAAGGAAAAAATTATTAATTTGGAAGCTATTAGAAAATGTTTATTTTGTTTAAAACTATGTCCACCAACAAAAATCAAGGAGTTGTAATTAGTACTTAAATAGCATAAACAGTGCAACTTAAGTAAATGCCCCTCAGCATCCTGTGACTGGCAGGCTTAATCTTAAGAAAGACTGTGTTCCCACTTAGAAACATCATTCAGTGATTCAATTCTAAAATACCTGTGCTGGATTCCTTTCTAGCTGTCCTTAATTGTTCTTATTTTAAAAGCATCTAGACACCTAACCTATCTACAGTTACAGTGTTGTAACAATAAACAAGTGCCATTGTACCCCTCTGTGTCAGTATGAATTTCCTGCATGCTGCTTATAGATGGACTTGGAAAATGCAGTGTTATAAGTTGTGCAATGGAATGATGCTTTTTGAAAGTGAGGCAAAACAAGGTTACTGTTCATGTAAGCTTTGCATGCTTTTGCAGAGTGATAAAAGCTGAGTAGCTTTGCTGAGTTTCTCAAGTATGGATCCCAAGGAACAAATGTCAATTTTGTGACAACACCACAGGAACAAGCACTAGCTTGTGTATTTTTCAGCATTATGGATGAAGGCCTGGAGACTGACCATTTATCTCAGGTGAACCTGCTGAAGATGAAAGCTGAGTTATGAAATGTCGACAACCTGTGGTGCCCTGACCAGGGCAGTACTTACCCTGTAGAAAATGTTGACCTTCACATCCATTCACGTAGTACTCACTTTCTGTTAAGGTACCTCTTTTGGAGGAGTGCTTACCAAAGTCTTGACCTGAGCTCATAAAGGAAGATATTATGGTCCTATCACTTCAATGACTCAGCCAATTTTTCCAAGGAGGATTCATTGCCCGTGCCCCAGAGAATGCTGGCCCTTTGATGGTTGGTTAGGAAGCCTCTAGACAGTGGGCCAGAACTTGGTTACAACTGAATTGATGCAATGGTAGTTATATTGTATGTAAATCAGGTTTGTCTCATTGATTTGAGTTCCTTTCAAAACAAAGTTTTGTCAAACTAATGGATTCTGACCTCATTCATGACCAGATGACCATAAAGGACGTTGCGCTCAGAGTAGTCCCTGAGAAGACAGTCTGTAGTGGACAAGTTCAACTTCTTCTGAGGCTCTCTTGTTAAATCTTTTAAGAACTGAATCTCTTAAGTCTCCACCACTGAGAGGAAACAGAAGTTGCCATGTACATCATTGTGCTAGATTTGAGGGCATTTTGGGTTTTGCTGATTGAACCAGTGTCAGAGACTGGTTCCAGGGTTAAGCTGACCTTTGGCATCTCCTAGTGAGAATCCAATGTTCTTCTAAATGTGCTTTTGAAGCCAGCATCACCCTGCCCTAGTGAATCCTGCTGAGACATACCACCCCTTGCAGAGTTGACATGGAGAGCAAGGGAAAGTGAGCATGCCAGAAGACAGTGCTTGGTACCAGCTCACTTTACTTTCAGCTGCATGAGAGTTGCAGCTGATGTCCCTCGAGTGCATAAGGGAAGGTGCTAGATAAATTAATCCCAGCACAAAGTAGGGCAGGTGATTCCTGCCAAGCACGTCGTGCCACAGGGATGGATGTCTGGGTAGTTTGGGGTTTTTTTGTTGTTGTTTGTCACTTGGTTTTTTTCTTAAGGAAGCATGCCAATTTCTGCACAAAAAGTCCCTGGAGAGCTTCTGGCTGTGTGAAATACATTAAGTCCCACTACGCAACTGCTGCCCTAAAGGTGCTTTTCCTAGCACAGCTACTTAGTCTCTATGACAGCTCAAAGCAGCCTTGTTCTGGTAAGCAAACAGACCAAAGCATTGTGGGGCAGGTTCAGGCGGCAGCTCCTCTGATGACAAAGGTCAGCTGTGTTGCTGCTGATAGAACATCCAGCATCCTGTGGTTCGGTTCACCTGCTACCTCCCTCCCAGCTCCCCTGCCCTGTGCCCAGGGAGCTAGGGTTCACAACAGGCTTTATTTACTCTCTAAGGATATGGCTTATTCTGCAGATTAAGTGAAAAAGTGAAGTCCTTAAAAAATGTAACACAAATTAGCCTCTGAGCTGTCAAACAACAAGTTCCTTAAAAGGGCAAACTATGCAGCTCTCTGTGGACTGCACAGATCCCTCCTTTCAAACTGCTGGCAGAAGACTTCCTGTTTGGATGGGCCGCTCACAAATGGTGTTGTGTGGTGAAATCAGTCACTTCCCAGCTCCTCCTTCAGGCCTCCTTTTGCCTCCCTTTACCCTCCTGATACCAAAGACTCAGGACTATGTCACGTCAAGATGGGATCTGGCAGCTGAAATGTAAATCTGAAAGCATGCATTAGCACTGTGCAATTTCTCCCCTGAATACATAAAGCAGCCCAAACTAGCTATGTGTGTTTGAAAACAGGATAGACGAAATGGTCCTACTGCGATAGTCCTGGCCATAAAGGGATAAGTGAGTGTTTGGTGGTCTGGCTCCAGAGTGGTGGAAAATTGATTTCTGCTTCACTGTTTCATTGTTCATTTTATTTTGACCAAATGGGATACCTTTGGAGGATTCTTCCATTTATTGTGGGTAAGTTCTCCAGTATATGCTTTTTGCTTCTGATACTTTGGTTCCTTTACTATAGTAGTGAGGGAAAGGCCAATACTGGTATTCAATGGTAGCATTCAGCCTTGGCTACTGACCATTACTGATAAATCTACCTGCAGGGAATCCCACACTGAGTTTGTGAAACCTTTTCAGAAACTTTGGGAGAAGTGATTCTACACTGCCATACAAGAACATGTTAATACCATATTAAAGCTTAGCTACCTTGTCTAACTTGAGTGTTTATTTTGTCCTTTTGTGTCTCAGATCCTTCTGTCCTCTTCCAGCTGTTACACCAGTGATAACCGAGATCCAAGAGTCTTGTTTATCATTTAATCTCTGTTGGTTTTTGTTTTGTTTTTCCTTCCTGCAGAACATGATCAGAAGATAGCATCATACACCATGATCATGGCCCCCCGGAAGAGGAATCGTCATGCATTGGGGTTTCTTTGTTGTTTTGGGGGTAGTGACCTCCCTGAAATCAACCTCAAGGACAATAACCCCCTCCAGTTCCTTGAGTTTTCTGTCCCGATCCCACCAGCAGAAGAGCTCAATGCCAGATTCTCTGAACTTGTGGTAAGTTTCTGTTGGCAGATTGATATATTTTAGCGGGTGGGTGAACTCCTTCCTTGAAAGGTGGAGTAAAAGGTCTTAAGGGACTTATTAGGGATAGGAAAAAAACTTCGGTTGAAGATTTTATTTTTCATTCTTTTATGACCAATTACTTGGTGGGAGAAAGGTGGTAAATAACAGGACGGATGACAGTGGCACTGGGTATAACTGCAACAAAATTCTTAAATATGCTTATTTATTCTCACAGCACTATGCAATTCTCCAGGTGTAGGATTGGACATATTAGAAGGAACCTCATAAGTTCTCTAGAGAACGAATCCCTGACAGTCAATTTCTTGTTAACAACTTTGGGATAAAATCTGCTGTATAATATAGTACAGTGGGAAATCTTAGGGTTTGAGGGTCTATAAAATAAGGTCTATACTGTTCGGCTGATCAGTAACATACTGCCGGTGAGGTATAAGAATCAGGTGACCATGCTAATTATTCTTCATCAGCTAGCTGCCTTTGAACCATGAAATGGTGCTGTTGCAGCAACAGACATAAACCGGAAGGGAAGCAGTTATTTCAGATGAACTTTGTCTTTTGCTTTTGTGGTAAATGTTGTGGATTCCAGTAGCAGGCACTTGCTATTCATGCCTGTCATCAAATGACTTGGCTGTCTTTGCCCTCTTGTTCAGCCTGCATGAAAAACACAGGCAGAGGTCATAGGGCTGTGCTGTTTTCCAGTCTGCGTTGTAAAGGTTATGCCCATTTGATGCAGTTGATTAGCTATCTCATTACCACTGAGATCGGAGGTTATGTAAGGTATCTGTAAATGTATATATGCCTGAGTGGTGCTACTGAGATGAGGAAGAGAACAGAAAATATTGGATCTTAGAATTAATTAGAGGAATTTGCCCATTATCCTTCTACATTACACTTATAACATTAGCCCAGTACGTTCTTGTCCATTACTATGGCTTCAAAGTGCTATAGCAATGAAAATAACCATATAATTTGGGTATGCAAGTGGAGGTTAACATACAGGCAACTATAGTACATCATACCAAACATAGAGACAGCTATAGTTTATGAGATCAGTGGTCTGACAACCTAGCCCAGGCTCCTATTTCAAGATGGAGTCCAAAGCAGATGCCTAGGGAAGAATATAAGATGTGGCCATAGAGTGGTTTTTTCCAAGATACTCTCCAATCCTCCAACAATTTTCAGCTCAAGGACTTCCTAAGCTAAAGTTGGTTTCTGTGTACATAGTAAATTGGTATGGATTTCTTTTCCATTTCTTTCTGTTTCCACCTTCCCTAGCACCCAAGACAATTTTTTAGCATTTACAGCATTCTATGGCAGGGGTGTGAGAAGGAAAGAATAGGGTGTGCAGGAGAAGAGAGTCTACTTGCTTCTGACTAAGTAGCAGATGAGGAATCTCCTTTCAGGGAGATATCTCACAAAATCCTGGTCTATACTTAAGTCAGTTTGCCTTTTATGTGAGACTACTTGAACTCCTCTCAGAAAGTGCAGCTGACTGACTGTGGAGAATTCTGCTTGGTGACAGGTATCTCTGAGTAAGAGTGTAATCTGTACTCTGCTCTGGTGTCAATTTATTTCTGGATGCTGTTTAAGTATTGGTTTTCACATGCAAAACTTTAATTGCTGTATCAAAGTTCACCTCTCTCCAATACCAAGATCCATTGAAGCATTCAATCCAGCCTTCCTGAAGGCATCACCAACGAATGTGCTTTGCTCCTAAACTTGGCTTGTTAAAACTTGAACTTGTTTACGTTTGGGTCATAGTGAAAGACCTGTTTCAGTTGCTGCTGGGCTATTGCTTACTGAGAAGGGTATCTGTTTCTATGAGTTGTTTGAGAGTTTGTGGTGGTATTAAGGGTGCTTTTAGCTTTGTTTTATGCCTGGCAAATACCAGTGTTCCATGTGCTTGTGGCAAAACAGCTCACAGCTGCCTTATGGAAGTCTATTAAACAGTATAATTTATAATGTTTTCAGTGCAAAGTTTAATGACAAGTATACATGATCATCTGTAAAAATTTTTGGCCCCAGAAGTTTGTGAGTTGTTGGTCTATGCAATAACTTATTAAATGTCCTGACAGCCTGTAATATAGATTTCAAACAAATGAAGCCATTGAAATGAAAATAGATCATATTCATGTTCTTATATTTAATGATAGTACCCTAGCCATCATTATATGACAAGTGAGCTGGGAGAGAAAAGTGCTATTTTTCAGAAGCTTAATGGTGTATGTTGCACAGTTTTATAAAGCACTCAGATAGGATGGCGATGCACGTCTATAGGAGTTCCTGGGGAGGCAGGTAACACGAGAGCAGTAAGGGCTTTTTGAGTGAGAGAACCTGGGCTAGAAACTGGGCTGGCAGAATGCAGAATTTGCCTGGAAGGGCTAGTTTGTCCACAGGTCTGGATTAATGCACATTCTACGAGACGCTAAAATAGAACAGGCTACATCTGTATCGACAGCTCAGATGAGTTTTTAATTGGATTAGAAAGATCCAGTCTGTAAATGCACCAGTGTAAATCAGCGACCTGGAAGTGCCTGAGAGGGCTCTCTGCTATGTACTAGCCTCCCCGCTGCTTATCTGTTAGGGTCTAGTCTGGGTGCACTTGTGCTATATAAAAAACAGATTTGAGTGTAAAGCCTTTTGACCCAAATCCCCAAGTGAAATGATGGCACCAACATCATCTGAGATCTGTAGTGAGAAGAGCATTTGTGTTAGCTCCCTGAAGTAGGCCCAGGGGGTATAGCCTTATCTTGCCATCTGCTCTACAAAGGGTATAATGAAACATTGGTGTGCTTGAATGAATTTTTAAAAGCCTTATTTTTCCCCTTGTCGCACTTAAAATCTGGGTCATTTTCCCACACAAGAGTTAATGACAAGAATAGCTAAGCCTAGCTGTGCTGGAAAAGCCTCCCTTGTGATTAATTTTCCAGTCCAGTAAACATTCAGTATGTGTCTACCTGCCTTTCTGAGGAAAATGGACATTTTGAGGGCCAGAAGCATGTCTTCTCTTGTTCTTGTTGTCCTCAAATTAATATCATGAAAAGTGAATTTGGAGATGTACATTTTGCAAGAGGAGAAATTAGGAATGTGTTGGGATCCTTTATTTGTGATGGAGCCACAAGACCCTTCCAGAGTTTGCAAACTTGCTCGTGTAGACTCCAGGCTGAGGCAAATATGCATGTATGGGATGCTCTTTTGGGGGAATACACCCAGACCAACCAACTGAGTAACAGCAGTTGCCTAACTGGACTCTGACCAAGGCAGTGGTTTTCAAAAGACAAGCTGATGCTGATTTCAGCTGAAATGTCTGCTCCTGACGCCGCTCAACCAGAAAAATAGTTCTACAATAAATCCCAGGCTTTTGTGTTACTTGAAGCTGGATGCTGTGTTTAGACCTTGTATCCTCAATTAGAAAATTAAAACATAAAGGGTTACTCCTGACATGGGCCAAATTCAGTCTTGATTTATTTCATTGGAAACATGTGCAGAGAGTAGGTCTGAATGAAGACTATGGCTCAGGGTGATTTCGTCTGATTTTGTTTAGGCTAAGACAGGAGAACTAGCTTTCAGGCTGTCTGCTGGCAGTAATTGCCTTGGGACTAATGCAGTGGTAACAGTACAGATAAGTCCTCATCAGAAGTCTAAATGCACAAGACACAAAGCAAACAAAAATACTTGTGACCAGAAGCTTTGCCCTTCAAAGGACCACTTTCATTCACCCATCTGAGAGAGGGCAGAACAGCTGGTTTTAGTATCTCTCCCTCAATGAACAGGCAAGGAAGAGAAGCTCTAGAGAACAGGGTGTGTGGGGTGGTCCTGTACCTCACAAATTGTAAAACTGGCCCTACCTGACCATCAAGGCTGTTCTAGCCAGCATCACTTCTGCATTTTTCCTGTCTCTCTTCTCATCTGGCACTATGTATATGACCATGTAGTAAAGTGCTGCTGCAGTTGGTGGTCTATTGGCGGGTGCCAAGCTGGTTTTGTGCCCGCTGGCAAAATAGGTTGTGCTAAGCACATGTGTTTTTCCTTGTACAGATTTATTGACTGAACAGGAGTTGCAGAAGAATCTGGAACAACTATTGCAAGGCAAGGGAAAATAATTTTTTTCATGAAACAGCCTCTCCATGTCCTTGTTCGTATTTGTTAGCAGCGGTGTGTTCTTGTCACAGTGGATTCTGATTCCTTTTCCTCAGAGTCCTGGACTCTTCTTGTTGGTTAAGGGTGGTGTGCTGCTTGACACTAAAGATTTTGCCATCTAGATCTCTCTTACACCAGCAACCTGATCTCAGATGTGAACTCAGACCATCCCAAGAAGGGTAACTTAAATGCTGGCAATTCAGGGAAAGCAGAAAAATGTAAAGAATGCTAGCACAGAGCGAAGAGCAGTGTAAAGAGTTTGTGCTTCTGTTGTTTCTCTTTTTGTTTCTTTTGTTAGTGGCTCTGTTGAGATTGTCATGCTATTTGAGAAGGTGGAGTTCAAGACTGTCTATTTTAGGATGGAAGGTCCTTGGGGAAGCAGTGGAGCTGTCTTTTGAGTTGCCATTTTCAAAGTTGATCATATTATTACAGCTTCCAAGCTTGAATGATAATATCCTTGTCTGAGTTACCTGCACCACATTAGATTCTTATACTGGGAAAGATTTGAGAAATGCTTACTGTTAGTAAGCCTTAGTCTTGGCTGCCTTTGAAGCATTCTGCTATTTAGGTCAGGTGGGACATTGACTGGATTCTCCTGTCATGGTTTGTTTCTCTTACATTGCATTCGAACCTGTTTCTTTTTTAGTTTTGGTTTAGTTTTTTCCTTTTTCTTCTTTTTTTCTCAGAGTCCCTAAATAAGGGATTTTGTTGACTTTATAGATTTACAAAAGCTTTTTACTGATATTTACTATTTACCATCATCCCAGGCTTTTCCAGAACAGAACTTTAGACCTTATGGCACCAAAAGTACCTATTAAGTTACATCATGTACA